AAATAATAAACAAGTAGAGTGAAGAAAAGTGACTTGAAATTGAAATATAAAACAAATATTTAAAAACTAACTTGGTAAATATATCAGAAAAATTAACAAATTAAGAATATTTTTTTAATATATTTCTTGTGAAGCTTACATTCAGTTATTCTGAGATACCAGTATATACTCTAGTGATGTGATAACCTTCAAAAAGTGAAGAATATGTCTGACAAGTACTGCTTGATTAGTTTTGTGTTGAAATTTAAAGATCATCACAGTTAAATCTGGAAGATTTTGCATGTTGCAAAGACAAAGTTCAGCATTTTCTTACTTGGCTATGAAAAGTTCTTTTACATGTTATCTCTGTGATCAAAAGCTGACCCTGATTCTCATTTCTGTTGGTATAAAAATTATGTGCCTTATGTTCTCATAAGGATATATATCTCGAGATCTAACTCTGCTGTTCATTATTTTTCTCCCTGCTTAACTGTTGACACAGAGGGGGAAGGGGACTTTAAGCATCTCTCCTGTTCCTCTGGCCTGGAGATATTTTCCACTTCAAATCTTAGAATCTTAGGTCAGAGCCTAGAGGAACTCCAATAAGACATTGATGAATGGCTGAGGAAGAAGGCCTGAAATTAATATTTGTAAGGTATGTTTGAAGATTGTTTCCTGATTGAAAATATCTATGGACATAGTCACATGGACCCATTTGAGGTTTATTGTCTCGGCAAGATGTTGTGATTTATAGTCAGTCTCAGGGAAACAAATGTTTATCTGTAATTAGAAGCCCATCTGGCTGCTTGTACTCTATTTTTAGAAAGCAACCAATGCTTGCTAAATACATTTTAGACGTACCTGATTGGATTGACTCTGTTGTTGGCACACAGTAAACCTAGTAATCTGGAAATAAAAAACCTAATATATTGACAAATTCTGTGGTCTCGCTCACTAACCTCCAGCTGCACAACCCTCCTATCCTTCTGCATCCTCCTACAGTTCCTGCCTCTGACCTTGCTCTCCCAGTAAATCACAGGGTGCTCCCTTTCCCTCCTTCTAGGCACAATTCTAGTGCCTTTTTTAAAGGGCAAACCATCCCTGGGCTTGGTAAAAATAACTATCTCTCCCATTTATAGTACCGTTTTTATACTTCTATACCATTTTGTACTCTCTTAGATTCCTATTTCTATAACAGTATTTTTATTCATTTTCTGTCTCTCCCTTTGACTCCTTTATATCCAAGACCAGAGGACACTTTAGCACACAGCAGGAAGTGCTTGTTTATTGAGCAATTTTGCATGCTGTGGTAACTCAAAAAGATACAAATATATTTACCAAGATACATTCAAGCTGGGTGTGGTGGTGCATGCCTGTATTCCCAGCACTCAGGAGGCTGAGGCAGGAGGATCACCGTGAGTTTGAGGCCAGCCTGGCCTACATAGTGAGTTCAAGGCCAGCCCGAACTACATAGCAAGAACTTGTCTCAAAAAAATAAAACCAAACAAAACATAAAAATGGTATAGACAAATATTGATTATCAATCTTAAACAGTATATATGTTTAAATACATTATCCTAACCATTTTCATAAACATAGTCTAGGAAAACAAACAGGGCTAGGGATTTAGCTCAGTGGTTCCACTGCCTGCCTTGCAAGCACAAGGACCAGAGTTAGATCCCTGGTACCAAAAAAGAAAAAAACCCAAACAAACAAGGAAAGCTAAGAACTGGTTTAAAGATTTAAATGATGCATGGAATAATGACTAAATATTTATGTCACTGTATAGATTTTATGTATTTTATTCAACTCTCTTCTTTCTAGTATGATTTCTAAGAAGAAGCTAATTGTATTTCTTATTCTAATTTCACAGATAATATACACTCCTTGGTTTTTTAAAATTGCACTTTGCTTTGTGGTAATTTGAATGTGATATATCTAGGTATAATGTTTTCTTGTTTTTATATTTTTTAATCATGTTTCCTGCTTCCAGAATCCCTGGTTTGGTGTTCTCCATTAAAATTTGAAAGTTTTCAGCCATAATGTTCCTTCAATTATACTTTGTTTTTTACTTTTTTTTCCAGTATTCCAATTAAGAATATCTTGCACTGTTTGAAATTGTCTCATAGTTCTTGCGTGTTCTGTTTATTATCATTATTATTTGTTTCTCTTTGCATTTCAGTCTGGGAAAGTTTATTGACCTACCTTCAAGCTCACTGATTCTTTTGTTGGCTATGTCTTACCTGGTAATGAGGCCACAAAAGAAGTCTTTCATTTCTCTCTCACTATTTCTAATTTGCAGCATTTTGAAAATTCTTCCTTGGAATTTCTGTCTCTGCTTTCATTGCTCATTAGTTTTTATAGGCTGTCTCTCTCTCTCTTTTTTTTTTTTGAACCCTGAACATATTTATCAGAATTACTTTAAATTTCTTGCCTGATCATTCTACTATCTATATCATCTATGTCTGGGTGTGATTTCCATGCTAACTGTTTTCCAGGAGATTGTGGTTTTATGGCTCTTTGGTATGCATTTTATCTATTATTCAGTTAGTTTTGTTTTGTTAAGTCAGCCATGCTATACTCAATAATAGGAACTGCGATAAATATGCCTTTGTTGTGGGGTTTGAAGTTCATCTAGCTAGCAGCTGAGCTGAATTTAGCATTTTCTGTAGTTGTAGGTGTCAGAGACGTCCTATTTCTCCAGCATCCTTGATTCTGTTTCTCTACTTGGCTTTTGGCTTTCCTAGGTACTCCTCTTCAGTAAGGACCTGCATAACTTAGCTCTTTTATTTGTAATCCACTGTTATTAAGCTAGAGCCTGGTTGGACTGCTGGATAGGCAGAGGAGAGGAAGCATTCTATAATCTTGTAATTAAATCTCAGATATTTAAATGGACTATGTCTCTGAGCCATGACTATTCAAATGTTTCTCATTCTTACCCTCCATCAGTTAGGTAAGTTGGGAGACCTAATGTGGGCGGGAGAGGGAGAAATGTCCCCCCTTCAGGCTGGCTAGGCTTTGGACAACTCTCTTCTTGAGGAGAGCAGGAAATGTTATGGAGAAGGTTCTGGGTCTTGCCTCCTGAGGTAACTCTTCCCCTCTTCCTGACAGGACCAAGAGAAAATGAAAACTCAGCTCTTTGTCATGAGAAACTGGTGGGATCTCTAGAAGTGAAATCCATAAAGTGTGGGGCATCCTCAGGACTGTGGCCTCAGGAGGTTCTCATATTCACTCTAGTCCACACGAAGATTCCAGAACTTTCTCAAGATTGTGATGTCAGTGTTCCAACCAGGTTAAGGCTGCAGTAGCTTTTGATCAAGAAAATCTGGGGAAAGAGACTACTGGTATGCATAGCAAGATGAATACTCTTACAGCTGTAATATTTAGTAAAAGAAGCCAGATAGAGATACTCTAGGTAGATACTTTTAGTTTAGTTTCATTTTTAAGATGCATATTTTGCTAATTTAACAAGGGTGAGAGAATATACTTCACAAATTAAAACAATATTAAACTCCAAAGACATGAATATTAACCTTTTGGCAGAACTGGAATGTCTAGAAGCCCTGCAGGTATGCAAGGAAAATAATAGTCTTTAGGATGGAATTAATAGCTTTTCCTGCTGGACAAGACATATGGCACTGGTTCTGAGCCTTAATCTTGCTATATAAACTCCCTGACACTAAGTAGAGAAAACCAGTTATTATTGTCATGGTGCTGTTTTAAAAACCCATTCTAGTTTTCTTGTTTGGCTCATTTGCCTGGGTGTCCTGGGTATTTTGTGTTGATGACATCTACACCTTTTTTGGAAGACTTTCTCATTCCCTCTCCCTACCCCCCCCCCAGAACCTAATGAATAAATCACACCTTGACTAAGCCTACCTTTAGTAATATACACTTATCATTGATCTTAAACTATTTTAACATTATTTTAAAATGAGGTTTGAGTTGGACTGTTGTAAAGACATTAATTTGAATACAAGTCACCATGCCTAAGATGAAGGCATTATTCTGACTTCTGACCCCTACATTAGTTCTTCCTGTTCTTGAATTATAACTGGGATTTGTCCTATGGTAAATGACTGCCACTAAACTATAATAATTCATGGCTGTCTTGTCCCTTTCTGTGTCTTGTATGTGGGACATGGTTCTTCCTAACAGTAAGCAAGTAAAACTTTTTTGATGAATAGACAGGCAAGTTCATAACTTAGACTGTGTTTTAAAAGTAAGGATGAGTTTTCAAGCAGACTGTGCAGAAAGGCAACCAGTTCTTAATGAGTTTTGCAAAAGGTGGGTGATTATAAAAAAATATATGTTTGTGAACCTACATGTAAGACAAGATTGCTGGAGTTTTCAGTGTGTGCAGCATTAACAGAAGGGAATGGATCCAGACAGGGGGTATAAAACAATTAAGGAAAACAGATATCATGCTAGTAAGGTGTTTTTGAATTTATCTTATGTGAATAGATCATAAGAGCCATTGGGAGCTTAAGCAAAAGCTTGTGGGTAAATCTGCAATTAGAACATTCTTGTGGGAGTGTGTTCACTAAAGAAATAGATAAAGTCATATCACTGCTACTCTTAGCTTTTCACCATAAATTCCACCAAGGACTTTGGGGATTTCTCATGTATTATTATTTATTTCTCTTTGCATTTCAGTCTGGGAAGGTTTTATTGACCTACCTTCAAGCTCACTGATTCTTTTGTTGGCTATGTCTTACCTGGTAATGAGGCCACCAAAGAAGTCTTTCATTTCTCTCTCACTGTTTCTAATTTGCAGCATTTTGAAAATTCTTCCTTGGAATTTCTTTAGACTTCTAAACAGCTTGAGGAACAAACCATGGAGCCCTCCTCTTGTGTCAGATAAGGAGATTTGGTTTAGTATCACCTGTCCCAGGCATTAATTCTACAAACAGTTTAGGATGTTTGCTTCTCTGTTACAAGGAGGTAATAATTTAAAAAAAACTTAGATTTTTAATTTCATTTCATTTATTATAGTATGAATTAAACACATTCTTCCCATAGCCAAGCAACATAGAATAGCTTTGTAAACCAAATTTTTATATCAAGCAAAGATGAAAGCAAGATTAGATGTGCAAAGACATCTTGCATTAAATCAGGCACAGAGAAAACAAGAAAAAAATAGTTGCTGCTAGGAGAGAAGCAAAAGTCCATGGAGTTTGAATTTTGCTCCCGGATCTTCAGCATGAATATTCATTGGGCAAAGAAGCTACTGGGCTCCCTGTGCAGAGCAGGATGCATGGCAGGGGCTGACCACAGAGGTCAGAGGTTGGCAGCCAGAGGAGAGAGGCTGCACTGGCCTGAGGCCGCTGCTCACAACGTGAACCGTTTGAGGTCTGTAGACCACGGAGCCAGAGGGTTGACATCCATAAGGCAGGACGCTCAGAGGTCGGCCAGGGCTGGAGAAGCACAGTATGGGGCGATAGCCACTGGACACACTGCCACTGGACACACAGCCTGCAGGCTGGAAAGTATTGACCAGGGGACTCAGAGGATGACAGCTGCTGGACATGTAGCTCAGAGGTCTGTAGGACACTGGGATGCTGGAGCTGGAGATGAAGGATGAAGCAGGAAGGAAACTGCCTCCATGGCAGGGCCTGTGCACGTAGTGACCAGTGGATGAGCAGCAGGCAGCCCCACCAAGGCTGGGGGCACACGGGGCTGGCTGGCAGCTGGTTGACTCCTCACAGGGCCCTTGGGAGTAGTCAGTGAACCAGATGCTGTCTTGACAGCTACTGGGTAAGTACAGGATCTCCCCACCACTTACACTGGTTGAGCAGAGGGCAACAGCAGGGTTGAGAGGAACATGGCAGGAATTTCTGGGAGATTCTGAGCTGCAGTTTCCAGAGCAGGAGTTGCGGCAAGACATAGTCAGATGTGGAGAACAGGCTGCGGTTGAAGGAAAGAAGTGAGTACCTTCAGCTTCATTCTGACCCTCACCAGCTTGTGCCTTTATATATCCTTAGAGAGAGGCGGTTCTGTGTACAGACTCTTCCTCCTTCTTGTATGAGGCTGCATCAGAACTCTTCATTAAGAGGCCCTCACTTCCCATAAAACCAAGTGCTTCCTGCAAAACCTTCCATTGATTAAGTGTACCCACCCATAAACCAGTGTGCCTGAATTTTAATTGTATCGCTGCTTAAATTAGCCAACTCAGACACTTTTGAAGGCCATGAACTTACTCTACTGATCCAATTTTGCACAAACATTTTAAAAGTTCCTCTCTTGAAATCGTCCTCAAAAGTTGTAGTATACCTCTTTGAACAAGTGGTCAATGATCTCTCTTTAGGAGCAAAATACTATTCTTTTTAAAAATTACACATTGAAGCAAAACTTTTAAAAAAGTGAAAATCCTTATACTATGTGGCAGAAAGAGTTTAAACTCCTGCAATGAGAAAGATTTCAGTGCTTCATTTCATTACACAATTTTAGACAAAATGGACTTTCCATCAAATGACTTTATTCAGGAAATCTCTGCTCATTTTATTCATCTACTCATAAACAGAAGCAAGTTGAAGCTTGGCTTTGGACTAAGATATATTTAAATTTAAGAAATATATTTAAATTTAAGAAAATAAAGTTGGTCTTAGTTAATATTATAGATTTTGATGTGAACAAAAGCAATAAATAGAGCCATTTAAAGTTGGACAACATGGCATTTTACACGATTATTACAGACTTAATGAATATCAACAGAAAACAATCTTTTTTTTCTTTTATTTTCTTTATGCAGTGCTGAGTATTGAACATATCTAGCCCCTTTTATTTTTTATTTTGATAAAAAGTCTTACTAAATTTCTAAGTTGCCCAGGCTGAGCTCCAGGTTTCTTGGGATTTTCCTGGGCCAGCCTTGGGGAGTACTGAGATTACAGGCAGGTGTGTGCTGCCATATCGAGCCAAAATTATTAATCTTGAATTCTTTGACAAAATGGAGTATACTGATTAAGATAATGATGTGTTTTGTTTCCTAGATGGATTCTGACATCAGTTTCCAAAAGAAAGTTTCTGAACTGCTATACATAGGCAGCAGCATCAGAATAAAGGTACAGTTTTCCTAAGCTCCAGTACTTTCAGTGCCATTTGGGAATTTATACTTATGTAAAAATTGCTTTAATAATGTTTGATTTTGCTTAGTTTCAACGGACCCACTGTAATTTTCCTATACTGACATAACCAGTGACTCCAATGGCTATTTTAATAGGAATTTAAATTATCTGCTGAATCTAAATTCCATTTCCCTTCGGCTAAAAATTCAATTTAAATCTCAACACTTTCTTCTATTTTAATGTTCAGTGGACACAGGCACACTCATCAAGTTCCCCCTTGTCCAGAGAATAGAAAATCTGAAGTAAAAGATTGGTTTGTCCATGAGGCAATATGTATTTTACTAGCAAGGGTAGAAATATGAAAATAAAAGGATGTGGTCTCCAAGGTCCTACACTAACATGCTGAAATCACATCTGTATTTTAGGTCAGAGGACATCCCTCTTTGACAACATGTGTCTGATGAGACTGGGGAACCCTAGCACCCCCATCCCACCCCAGGGCCTCATGCTGGGTGCTATGCACACAGCTGCCATAGTCCTCTTGTGAAATCCTGGATGCATAGGTGCATAGCATAGTAATAGGTACAGCCGTATCCAATTGAACACTTACCCAATTTATGTGTTGATGCTGTTTACATCTGCCCTTCTGTAATACAAGGAAGAGCCCAACATCTGCCTCATGAGCACATGGATATAGCGTGCACGGTAATGCAGGTTCTGTGTGTGCTCTGTATACACATGAATATTTTCCCTGAAGAGAAGGTGTGGGATAAGAGGAAGCAAGGTTTTGTTTGGTGCCTGCTCTCAGATATACATTGTTGTATCAGTACTACATAAGAAATATCACTTGATTCTTATAATTCTGGGCAGCAAATTTTACTATTTCAAGTATTCATATGAGAAAACTGGAAATTTAAAATGTTACCAACAGCAGATATGAAGAAAAATATTTGAACAAAGACTGTTCTACCTTTTCAGTTTGCAGGTTCGTGTCTCCAATGACACCATATCCATCTTTATTTTTGTAGCATCCCCTTGCTTATCTGTGTTTATCCTACTCTTCCTGTCCTGAGGAATAATTTTAAAATTTTATCTATTATTCAGATATCAAGGTAAGTAGCTCCTTCATAAATACTTTGCAAACCATCCCTGTCAACCTAAATCTGTCCAGTGTTTAAATGTGTATAATTACCATACCCTATAATAGCTTGTCTCACTTTCTATCTGCCTCCCTCTCTCTCTCTCTCTCTCTTTCTCTGCACACCCCCACCTTTCTCTCTCCTATTCTCTGGAAAAATATTCTATATTTAAATATGTTATACATAGAACTATGGTTACCTTCTATTCATTGAACCCTTGTTATGCTTATTATATTCCAGATACTTTTCTACATGTTTTGCATGTATTAAATGACTTAATTCTTGCAACATTTCTGGTTGAGTAGGTATGATCATTGTTATTAATATATGTAAGAAAACAATCTATCTTTAATATTTGCATTTCATATCAATTGTGAAATATAACTTTAAATTTATTTATCAAATGAAAATCAACATTTACTTAGTCAATAATTTATTTTATATGTCATTCTCACAATCTATCTTCATCTGGAATAGCTGTCTCATAAGGAATATAAAAGAACACAAGGTCAAGAATAAGTGGTGGGGTTCATATTTCTCATCAAGCTGTTCTCCTGCCTATTCTAGCATTTCTGACTACTGCTGAATGAGCTGTCCACTTTAGAAAACCAGGTGTTCTTGAAGGGTAAACAAGCAGTGGTCCGAAGGGGACTGTCCTGTACAAGCTATCTTCTTCAGGTTCACCTCTTTGCAGATCCTGAAATCAAGATTTCAATAGCTCGATGCTGCTGGTATCAGGTTGACCCTCACATACAAGAAATTTGTTATACAACTTTCTAGAGTAGGCCCAGGGACACCATAGCCACATAAAATTCTCAGATACACTTCACAGTGCAAAACACCAAAAAACTGGAGGAGCAGAGCCCCCTGCCCAGTGCCGAGGAGGTGAGCTGTGTGGGTGCCAGAAACACCACTCTCCCCCCACCCTGGTGGCTGCAGTGAGACAGTGTTTGGATCCACAGCACAGAGGTTCAGGAGATAAAGGACATTGTTCTGAGCTCCAGAAGATAGAGCAGAAGTGAGCAACAGAAAGAGGGCCTCTCTCAGGCTCCTTGATGAAAAGGGAAGCCCATTGGAAAAGAAAAGAAAAGAAAATCTCTGCAATAAAGGCACACCAGAACACTGTAGTTGCACACTGAATCAGGCAGGATGGTGTGTGGCTGCAGTCCCAGCACTCTGGACAGCTGAGGTAAGAAGGTCACATGGTGCAATCCAGCCTGACCAATTTGGTGAGTTAGTGAGACCCTCAGTGGGTATCTGAAGTAAAATGTCTGAGGATATAGTTCACTGAGGAGATGCAGAGTATAAGCCCCAGTAATGCAAAAGAGAAAAACTAACAGATAGATGAGAAATAGATAAAAATATTCATAGACACTTAGATAAAAATTACAAAATAAGTGGCCACTGATTTCTTTAATATGAAGAAAAAATGGTTGTCACGGGCGGAGACAGGGGGAGAGTCCCCACAGTCCCGGGCCTGACTCTCTCAATGACACAGAAGGCTGTGGAAGAATCAGATAGAGACCGAAAGCACAGAAGCAAAGTTGTACTTTTATTCAGCAGGCATGCAAGAGTACAGCTGCCTTCTTGCAGAGAGACAGGCAGGGGTGCCTGAAACGGAGGCACCATTGAAGGGGGTTCAAGATGCTGGTTTTATAGTAGTTGGGGCCTATCCTGCCCCTGGGCTGAGGGCGCCCCTACTTGATTGGTTAATGATTAACTTAGCTCATTACTAGGGACAATAGGGAAGGGTCTTTTCAGGGGCCCTTTACATCTTAGGGCCAAGGCTCTTTTTCCTTTTGATCTTAGCAAACCAAGCTTTGCAGGGCACAGCATGAAGAGGAGGTGCAGCCTCAGCTGACTGTCAGCTTTTTATGGGTGGTTAAGTCTGTTCTGCCAGCTATCTGAACTCCTTTGGGGAGGGGCTCATCTCTCCCTGCCTAGGGGTCTCTATCCCTACAGGGCTATAGGCTTTTCTATTACATGGAGACTCAGGTTATGGAACCCCAGGACATGAGCTCACTTACTTGGCAATATCTCCAAAGAGAACTTGGAACCCTTATTAGTGGGTGTCATACTCTAGTAACAGCCATTTCCCAAGCTCACTTGGCTGGAGACGGTCAACAGCGAACATGCTGAGCTGCTTCTCCACTTCGAGAGGCTGCAGCCCCAGAACCCCAGGTAGAGAAAGTATCTGTGAAAGATTAAGAAGACAGCTGACTCCATTCAGACACCGCAGGCCACATGACAGCAGCTGCAAAATTGTCACAGACACCCCAGGGATGGTCTCCCTGGTAGTGACCACCAGTGACCTACCAAAATCAAGGTACCCCAGTGAAGTCTCCCTAAGCCCAAATACCAATGGCACAGAAACTGGGAAGAGTGTGGGACAAGTATCACTAGGCCCAGAAACATCCAGTAGCTCTGGGAAGGCCTCCCCCGAGCTGGGCACAGAAAACCTAGAGAGTCAAAGTCCAGGGGGGGAGACTGAAGTAACAGCCACTGGCCCCTGAGAGACACTGAGAAGCCTGGTGTACCTCCATCCAGCCCTGGCCACCACTATTGGAAACAAGTTCACAGAGGGCCTTGAAGAATTCCGGCCAGTGTGCTCCATGCAGGCAGTCAGGCTGCTCTCGTTCTCTGAGCCCTGCCTGCCTGTTTCCCTGGGCAGCCAACCCGTCTATGGTCCCTTCTTCCCAGGCACCTCCACCAACCACACCTCTAC